CACCATTATTTTCTGAAATAATGAAAATAGAAAAACTGCATATGTATAAAGGATTTATTTTTAGAAAATGCATCATAAACATTAGAAATTCATTTTTATGCTTTCTAAATCTCTTTATTAGTACACATTTGCAGTACATACTGTATACATTCCTTGAGTGGAGTTTGTCCCTCAAAGTCTTGATTTCCCTCATACCCACAATCACCTCTCTTCACACTTCAAATTAACTTCTATCATGGTTTTTATTTATAGTTTGTTTTTTCATATAATTATTAAGAAGTGAGTTTTTGTTTTATAACAACAATGCAAAAACTCTCATAAAGTAAAATAAGTTGATGACATTAATTATGGCACATAAATTCATAGTCTCAACTGAAACATTTCAACCAAGAAGGAATATATATTTTCTTAAAATATATGCAGATTGCAGTAAGCATTCACATTATACCTGTTTTCTATTGCTCAGTTTTCAGATCTGAAGGAAATTTCAGCATATTGAAATAATCACCCTTGTTTTTCCTGGAAGAACCAAGTCTTCATTAAACATTAGAGGAACAAAATCAATTTTGTTTCCTAGTCCAGAGCTTCCTCATGGCACTTTTTATCTCTGCATTTCTTAGAGTATAGATGAGGGGGTTCAGCATAGGCGTGATAACCGTGTAAAACAAAGTCAAGGCTTTATCAATGGGTAATGTAGAGGGAGGCCTCACGTAAATAAAAATGCAAGGAACAAAGAAGAGGATGACCACAGTGATGTGAGAACTACAGGTGGATAAGGCCTTGCGCCTCCCTTCCTGACTCAAGTTCTTCAGGGAGTGCAAAATGACCCCATAGGAGACCAGCAAGATTGTAAAGATGGCCACAGAGATCACCCCGTCATCAGCTAACACAGTGAGGCTGACTACATAGGTGTCTGTGCAGGCGAGTTTTATTAAGGGGTACATATCACAGACAAAGTGGTCCATGACATTGGGGCCACAGAAAGGAAGATTGTAAACAAAAAGTACATGTGGGGTAGCATGCAGGAGACCCCCAACCCAGGTCAGCAGCAGCAGCAGAGCACACCGTTGTTGGTTCATGATAGTTAGATAGTGCAAGGGTTTGAAGATGGCCACGTAGCGGTCATAGGCCATGACAACAAGGAGTATTATGTCAACACCACCGAATAAGTGAGCTACAAAAAGCTGTGTTATGCAAGCTTTGAAGGAAATGGTTCTCTTCTCATAGAGTAGGTCTTTAATCATCTTTGGGGTAACCGTAGTGGAATAAACAGCATCCATAAATGATAAGTAGCCAAGAAAGGTGAACATTGGGGCATCCAAGGATGGGCTCAGCACCACGGTCAGAACAATGAGTAGATTGCCTGCGATCGTCACTATGTATATCAGTAGGAACACAGCAAATAATATTTTCTGACCCTGGAGGTTCTGAGTGAGTCCCAAAAGCACAAACTCAGTCACATTGTTCCTTTGCTCCATATGTCCTTCTTTGCAACCTTGTGTCACTGCTCAGCATAAAATTATCTGTGAATAGAATTCTTAGTATGACTTTTTAATTTTAAGATAATAGGTTCATTTGTTTATTTATGGGTACTATTTTATGTTCCGGTTTTGCCAGACATTATAAGATTATTTCATGTAAGCAATGTGTTGTTTTATAGGTGGACGATGTTGGAAATAAGTAATTTGAAACATGTAATGGAAAGGATTGATTATGAAAGAATAATGAGTACCTTTCTTTTAGGAATCTAAAATATTTGTATATGTAATTAACTGCATATACTGAAATACATATCAATTATATTTAATACAAAACCAGTAATGCATACAAGATATTTGCTTGAAGGTCATAAAGATCAAGTGACTTCTACATTGCAATTGTAGTAAAATTTATTTAGTTAATAATATGTGCCTCAGACCCAGTCCTAGCCCAGGTCCGGTGAGTGTGTGGAGAGCTTCCTGCTACCCTGTGCCGGCGGGACCAGTCCCACCCCAGGCACAGCGTGGGCTGGACCCACTCCCAGCCCCTTGGGCAGCCCCCTACCACTCCGCAGTGCCTCCCCCACCCCGCCCGCAGAGTAGGATTTTCTGCCGATTTCCTAGAGCTCCCAGACCCAGTCCTAGCCCAGGTCCGGTGAGTGTGCGGAGAGCTTCCTGCTACCCTGCGCCGGTAGGACCACTCCCAGCCCAGGTGCTGTGTGGGCTGGACTCTCTCCCAGCCCCTTGGGCTGCCCCCACCACTCCGCAGTGCCTTCCCCGACCTGCCCGCCTAGTAGGAATTTTTGCCCCGTCCCGGAGCCCCCAGACCCAGTCCTAGCCCAGGTCACATGAGTGTGTGTGGAGAGCTTCCTCTTCTCCCTACTTCACCTTGCCCCCTCCAGGCACAGCTCAGGCCTGGCGTACATGACTGAAGTGTAATCCTGCAGCTGCAATCCCTGCAGAGAGTGTAGAGGATACAACCAACCTGCAAGTCCAGGAGCAGAACATCTAGCCACAGGGGCACAACATTTTCACCCTCAAGGGCAGCAGTGGGAAGGAGCTGAGAACAGCAGCCAGACCCAAGCCAGACGCAGCTGGATAAGTCCAAACTTTGTAGAGCTGCACCTGAACTTCAGTACGTGCGAAGGTTATAACTACAGCAAAGATCTAAAACAAAGGTCAGAAGATAGTGCTCCACAAAATGAAGAGAAGGAACAAAATGCAAACTCAGAACCCAAGCCCACCCGTAACAAGTGCAGAGGACACTAAAAGAGAAAAAATTGGAAATCACACAACTGAAAGCAATGAATCAAAAATTTCTGAAATAAAGAAACAGCTGCAGAAAGATGTAGAAGAACTCAGATTGGAAATGGAAAAAGAAATCCCTGAATTAATAACATCTGCACTAAAGAATCAAATGCAGAAACATATGGAAGAAACCCAGTACCCACCCAGAACAAGTGCGGAGGATACTAGCTTGGCTCAAATGCATGAATTAATAGCGTCGATAGT